GGCCTGATGAAAAATGAAGTAATTGTATTTTGAAGGGAAAGTCCTTTAGAAAATCCATGGTGCCGTCATTATCCGTTGTCTTTCATTTGTATTGTCCAGTCATGATTTGATTTTTCTTTTTCTTCTCTTACAATATCTTTTTTGTGCTTTATTACAGCTGGAGATTGGGAGAAAAATAAGGCAAACGTTTCCCTACTAAAATTTGTTATTAATGATACTGATATTCAGTATTTTGCTGGCATTACATTATATTCAAGACTGCATTTATAATGTAGCTGTAATATTTTCTACTATAACTGCAACCATTCCTCTTTTTAAAACCTTCACATCTTCATTTGTCTTAATTGCTGTTGTTATTATTTCCCATCTCTTTCCTCAGAATTCAAGCTGACACGCAGTTTTTCATTTTATGATTTTAAGATCATAAGAAGGCTATGAGACAGAACTGATGAAAGTATTGGATGCCTATGAGGGGGCTTCAACTGGAGTCTTCTAATGACTAAATCCTATTGGCAGTTAATATGAAAGTTCAAGCACAGCTCCAGGGAAAGGGAACATGCCACAAGTTGCCATATGACAACCTGAATCTGATCTGTCAGTTCTATAACTTTATTTTTTGAACTGCATTATCCTGGACCTGCCAAATATATTTATTGGACCCAGAAGATATCCAAGGCATTTCAGATGAATCCAGCAAGGCTTGTTAACAACAGATGGATAAATTCACTGAAAGGTCTTGCCAATTTCCTTACTGCAGTAAATGATAGCTGAATTAAATACATTATTAAACATATACATATAGCCTCAGAGAACATAAAAGAGAGTGAAAATATAAAGGCCCATAAATTAATCAATTCAATCCATGTTCAAAGATTAGGAGTTAATGCAAACTGATTAATTATCATAGCTGTGTAAACATTGGTTACCCTTTGTAGTGACTTTGAGTTAATTCTGCATATCCCTAAAATGATTTCCTTCTAATGTGGTACCAAAAATCCCAAGAGTTTCAGCTAGCATTGGGCTAAAACTTTATGGGTGAAAGGGTGATAGCAAAAAGCAGGCTGTGGGAGCTATGTTTCAGGGTCAAACCACATTTTTTTTATTTGCATAGCTTTGATGTTCTGCACAATGGTCTGCATAAAATTTATCCCAATCCAGCAATATTTTCTATGTATGAGTATGATCTTATCCTTTGGTTCAGAAAGCAGGTTTAGTGCTGATTTTGCATAGTTTCCATATAAAACCTTCTGATCTCCTAGTTCAACTATCCTCTGGAGAACCTTCAAACCATTCTGTGCTACAACCATGGATCCTGCTCCTTCTACTTAGCTATCAGAACAACATGTTAATTTAAAAATAGCTATCAAGTATGTCTGATCATAGAAGATACCACGAAGGAAGAAAGCACAAACCTATCTTAGGAAGGCCATTGCTACAGATGTCCTCATGCCCTGATGGCCTTTTATTTTTTTATTTTTTTAAAAACCCACATCCATGCCATAGCTTTCAGTTAACACTAGTTTCATGTTATTCCACAATCTATCATATAATTTGTAAGACAAACATTTATTTCATCTTGACAAATGCTAGAAATGTAAAGCCCTCCCCCAAAAAAGCAAAGACAGCAGTAAGCCTCAAACTGCAGAATGTTTAATTCTTAGCAATTTTAGCTGTAACTGAGACCTAACCATAACCTCTGGACTGCAGCCCCTGGCTTCCTCTTCGTGCACATAAAATGTTTACATATAAAGGACAGCATCTTGATTGTTTGTATTTAACTGTTATGCACATAAGATTTTCCATTATGGAAGGGTTAAGCCTTATACTCCTCTAGGGTATTCTCTTAATGGTGGTGATTGCCAGGACTGGATCCAGGTGCAGAAACACCATTGTCCAAAGGAATGCACTTGAAAGTGGTTTGGCCCAAATTCAACATAGGTAACATTTGGAAATACTCAGCCTTAAATGAAATTGAATCATTCTTAAAGTAAAACAATGACCACCACCAAAAGATTGAAAGCATATAAAAGGATGATGTGAACTAAACTATCTAACCTCAAGGGGACATCTAGTTCTTAGACATCAAACATCTTCAAGATGTGCATATAACAGATGCATAACTTCATATAAAATATTTGAAAATTCTATGATTTTAATAAACTTAAAACAATGATACAAAGGATTCTATTATAAGAAGCTAATGGGAAAAGGGTCTCAAGATGTGTGCAAACAATTTCAGTAAAGAGAAAAATGGAGTTACCAGATGAAGTCAGTAAGTAAAGTAAAAAGTAGGCAAGCAGGTGCCACCCAAAAATCTATTAGGGACTTCAAAATCCAGTATTTCCATCCTTTCAAATGCCTTTGCTTGTGAGAAGATCACAAAAGGTGATCACATGACCTTGGGACACAGAATGGTCATAAATATGAACCAGTTGTCAAGCATCTGAATTTTAATCACATGATCATGGGGATGCTGCAAAGACCATAACTGTGAAAAATGGTCATAAGTCTCACCTTTCAGTGTCATTGTAACTTTGAACAGTCACTAAACAAACTATTGTAAATAAAGGACTATATGTACACAGTAGGTTCTCAGTATCACTACTTGTCCTTCAGACAAAATGTCTTCCCCCTGAGAGCAGAAATTTCTACAGCTAAGGAAATGAGTGGGTCCAAACTAAGTGCAGAATTTTTTGGATGAACAGATTTATCTTTGCAGGCAGTTTTTAGAATGATGAGATTGTAGGCATCAGGAAAAGGAAGAAAATGTACAAGAGAAAGGGCTGCAAAAAGAAAAGGCCTCGGGAAGCAGTTGTTATTGATTGACAACAGCTACCAAAAGAGGCAGAAGCACAAAGCTCTTGAAATTATCCAACCAATAACAGCAATGTGGAAGGAGAAGAGCTTAAGAAAGAGGCAGTGATGGAAGAAAATCAAGATGCCATGGTGTTGGAGTCTGCAAAATAAGATGTCCTCAGAACTGAACTGCCAAAGCCCGAAGGGGACACCATCCAAGGTTCTACTGTCCTCCAGTGGCCAAACTCAGGAAACCAAGATGATAATTTGTCTCAGGTTGTTAAGACAGTTTGTCTCAAAACATTCTCAAGAACTGAAGGGTCCTTTATATGCCATTAAGTTCTTCATGGGTCTGTGATCCTGTTTCAGGAACTATCACCTCCATCTTAGTTCAGGAGGATGAGAGGAAATACCATGCCAGTGACACAATTCCCCTTTAAAATGCAGCCCTCCCTGGAGCCTTCAATAAAAGTGTTTCAATATATTCTTTAAATGTAGGTATTGACACTGAATCAGATTTCATTGTTCAACTGTTATATGTAAGTAATAAATCCCAACAGTTCTTATCCACTTAATATTTCCATTATTGTTTATTTCAGCATTCTTCTAAAGGTGCAAGATAGTGTTCTATTATTATTTTCAAAGTTACACCTTCTCTCAAAAGATAGATAACTGAAGATTGTTGATCCTCTTTTAAACAGAAGGTTGATAAACTGATATTATGAGGTGGTTACAGACAGAAGTATACTTTTCATCAATACTAGTGCTTTGGAAGATGCACCAAATACATCAAATGCAGATGCAGCATGGACAAAAAGTAAAAATAACAAGAATATTATGTATTGTAGTTGATGGCTATATGGCTTGAACTCTGCTGAAACTGCAGAATCTTATTTTTAGACTTCACAATATGGACATGGTGTTTAGATTAAGTGTTATAAAGCTAAGAGGATAAGAGGGGCTGTTTTAAAAGCCCCACTACTCATTTAATTAATATTTACTTAAGTTAACTACTTCAGCATAAACTGTTCTTTCATGATTTGTTCCTTAAAAACATCCACAGAATAATCTCCTGGTGGATTATTTCTATTAATCTATTGGACCTAAAATAAAATGATTGGTTAAAAATGATTGGTTATAACTGATGAAAAATGATCTAACATGAAGAAATGGAAGTTTGTACACCCCTAAAATCTAAAGCTTTAATTACGAGGCTGCGGTAGATTCAAGTGAAAAGAGTTCTGCTGATTCAGGATAACTTTAGAGACACCCCATCAAATGTTTTCATGTTTATTTGCTGAACAATCCAAACAACTTTACTAAGAGGAATTTGCTTTAATGAGAACTATACAGAGACATAATGGGGAGAAATGAAAAAGAGCACTGATGTTTATATTTTTATTTGCTTTGGGGAATTTGCATAGAATTTTAATATATCTGTATACTGATTTACAATAATATACTGTTTAATTGCAGAGGTTGGTAAGAGAAACTAAATACTTAAGATGACAGTAGGGTTTCAGGGAAGAATATATACAGGTATTCCTGAATTGCAGGGATAGTATCAGGAAAGCTACAGTTCAAAATAACCTGAACTTAAGGGCAAAAAGGTCATGATCTTCTAAAAAAAATGATTTAAAAAATCAGTGAAGATGGAAAAATTAGAAAACCAGTTATTTTTGTTCATTCTTCTTCAGTAAGAGTTGTGCCAAAAAAGAAAGAAGGAAAGAAAATATTTACCAAGATTGAAGGGGCAATGATTGAAGGTAGGAATGGAAACAGTAAGCATTTTATGGAAAATCTTTTCCCCACATACTATAAGATATTAATTTCTCTTCATTAGCAGTGGGGTGACAAACATCCATTTATAAAGTTTCTCAGGTTCAATCCCCCAAATCTCTAGGAAAGATTGTAGAAATTCTTGCCAGAAAAACTGACAAGTCAAGGCCAATCACTGTTGTAAAAAAAGTTTTCCATCTGCTTTCCTCCAGATGGCACCTTCGTTCATCTCACACTCGCATGGCCATTGTTATTATTGTTAAGCTAATACCCCAATGTTACATTTTGAAGGCTTCCTATATTTCTGCCACATAAGTGGCTAATCAAAACACAATAGTTTACAAAATGTACTAGAAATATTTGGAGTTATTGTATTAATAATATTAACAACATGATTCATTTTAGTGATTTTATTTTATATTTTATTGTTGACATCTTAGAAAGTTTTTTTCTATTACTTCTTTTTTGTACATCACTGAATATTTGAATTTTAAAAAATAGCTTGTAAATATTTTCAGTACATAAAATCAAATGCCTCAGCAGATACTTCCATGTAAATAATGCATAACATTTTTTGCAGATGCATACTTAGTAACCAGCTGATGATACAATGTGCATACTGTATTTTAGACATGGCTGGACCATATGGATACCCATAAGTGGTCATCTGCCCATAAGTGATCATTTGGATTTTTACAGTCCAGATATGGTATGCTTAACATATATTTTACGATTCCCCCCCCCCCCATTTCTATATATTCTCCAAACCTTTGCATGATATCTCCTTCTGAACAAAAAGTATTGAATTATGCCTGACATCAAGGTTATACTAACATTCTGGGTTTAATGAAAAGATGCTGCATAGCAACAAAGACTGATACAATCTTCAAGAGATACTTCAAGAGAGATAAAGTAGTTTGCTTAATACTGGAATATTTAAGCATGCTGAAAAAATACTGTCAAGATCTTTTGATAGTAGGTACTGAGAGATCATTAAAACATTACATTTCACAGTTACATACTGTTAATGCTACTTTCCCTTAATTGTTGACCTAGACCTAATTGCTATAGGTCCCTACATCTGGGCAAGATGTATTGTAAAATTAGAATAAAATAAGTAATTGTAGTCATGTTAGCCAAGGGGAATATCCAGTATCATGCAGGAAATTTTCTATTAAGCCAACTTAAATTTTATTTTAAAAGATGCATGTTGCATGGCACTTCTTGGGACAATAATAAAATGTAAGGCTATATTTCTCTAAATGTCCTTTGATAGTGGAATTCAGTTTTGCATAATGGGATAGACTGCCACATGTAGAAGGGCAATTTCCTTTGCACTAAATAATCCAGTGAATCCAGCAAAAAGTACAAGAATCTGTATTCTGTATAACCACTTGACTGTTTAAAAATCTGCATGTAGAAGAGACACTCACAAGCCTCTTGGCTTTGGTCCCTTAAGGAGATTGGGAAGCATGGAGGTCATCCAGAGTCATTCTTTTGATGGGTTAACTATGACAGTGCTAAAAAAAATTGTCCATATTTCTTTGGTGTAAAGTTAACTATCCTGAAAAAAAAATCCTTGAAGGCAGAATCTGTAATTTATGAGCCCAATGCAGTAACTCCTTTTTTGCTAAATTAATTTCCCTTATTACATTTTTGTCTTTGGTGCCAACTTTTCAAATCAGTGCTTTAAAGACAGAATCCAAGACATTTCTCTGCAAATATTTTGCAAGAGTTAAATATCATATATTGGCAGTCAATGGAATGAAAAGGATGTTGCTGTTTTTATTCCATTAATAATACATCCTGCTCGAGCTAAAAGCTAAGCTTCAGGTTTGTAAGCAATGAATAAATGCATGCTACATTTTTATCACCAAACCAGACCAACGCTTGGCAGATTATAGAACTGAAACTAAGTTGTAATTGTTTCTCACTTTTGAAGTCAAATAGTTATCCTACAGTTATTATTTTCCTGGAAGCAACAAATAAAGCAAATGGCAGTCCTCATCAATGGAATGTGCAACAAGTAGCTTGCTTCAAATGCAGCATATTCTCTTAGGTAGCTTGAGGAAGAGATCAAGCGTGGGAATCCTGCAGTAATACAAGAAGAAACATCACCAAAAAAAAGCACATTTCACATGCATAGTAATAATGCTTCATCTTGGACTACTCTTAAAATAGAATGAATATAAGCATATACACATTATAAATGACAAAATTAAATTAAGTTACTGATTATTAACAAGAGAAAACATTTTCTTTTTCTTTTTTTAAATTTTAAACTTTATTTACAAGAATTAAAAACATACAAATTTAAAAATACAAAACCAATAGTGTATACATAACACATTCTTCTTTACATTTGATATCGAATTTGATACGTCCTAATAGTCATTACTGATACTTCTCACATTTCCATTTACTATCACATCTTAATCACTAAATAACTCACAATACTCTACTAATCTTCTCGTTTGTTTATAACTATTAATTAATAATACATTCAAAAAAAAAATTAAATAATAAATAAAAAGATATAGTTAATATATAATGATAATAATAATAATGTAGGAGAAAAGAGGATTTAACACCTTTGTTATTCTTATACATTTTGTATGGACAGCTGAATATAATTTGTTTCTTGGGTTCATTTACGTGTTTTCCCTTTACAATCTACCCAGTTGTACCATTTATCCCATATCCTATAATAATCTGTGTCCTCCTTCCCATTGATTTTGAGTGTGAGCCTCTCCAACTGGGCACACTTATACGTTTTTTGTATAGCAAAATGTATCAGTGGTACATTTGGATTCTTCCAATATTATGCTAATGAAATCCATGCCACTGAGAAACATTTTCAAACAATGGTAATAGTGCAGCATTCTTCAGACCATTAAGAATGGCTACTGTCTATGAAAACAAGCAAAAGGTGCTCATATTTAATGTGTCAAAGATGTAATCCACAATCTAGAATGAAACCCTGCATTTACTAATTGTTTAAAGCTGCCTTCTCTAACCCAGTCACCTTCAAACTTCGAAAAGCTGCAGTCCCAACTTATCTGCAGTGTTTCAGCTTGAAAATATTAGTGCTGATTATAGACACAGATTTTAAGGTGTATCTTAAACTTTCCTGAGACATTGTACTGTCTGGAAAGGATTACTTTGTGCATGCATTGGGTTGAAGAACATCTAAAGCTAAAGGGTTGCACACTGAACAAGATGTCCTCTGTGGGTGGGAAGGATTCTATGCATACAGAAAACTTTATGTGAATAAGTGAATAAGAATACAAGTAAAAATACCAATTAGTTTACTAAACACATCCATTTAACAGCCTGATCACTGCCAAGATGAACCTTCTACAAGATTCTGAGGTTTTTCAAATTTACTAACTTTTAATTTCCACAATCAATTGAATGAGGCAGTATAGGAACAAACCAGTGGTGGGATTCAAAAACTTTTACTACCGGTTCTGTGGGCGTGGCTTGGTGGGCGTGGCCATGTGACTGGGTGGGTGTGGCTTTTTTTTGCAGCCCCCACCCGTTTTTGGGAGCTTCCTAGTCACATAGGAGCCTCTGGGGGGGTCGTTTTTGCTCCCCTAAAGCTCCTCTGGGGCTTTGGAAGACAAGGAACACAGCATGGGAGGGGCATGCAGCACCCCTCCAAGCTCTGTTTTGGGAGCTTCCTAGCCTCAGAGAAGCATCTGGAGAGGCATTTTTGCTCCCCTAAGGCTCTGGAAAGCAAAAAATGGAGGGGGGCTGAGCTCCTCCCTCCATTTTTTGACTTCCTGGGCCTCAGCAAGAGAGATCTCGGCACAGCTGATCTTATCTACAGCTGATTGTTGGGAGGGAAAAAAAGAAAGAAATACCTTAGGCAAATGTCAGGCAGGCGGGCGGGGTGAGCGAGCATTGGGCGGGCGGGCGACCAGGTGGGGGACGTGGCCAGCCAGAACTTACTACCGATTCGGTGACCCACGCCAAATTCTTGTTACCGGTTCGCCCGATCCGGTGCAAACCGGCTGAATACCATCACTGGAACAAATGTATGGGAGACACCAGATTCAGACAGTCTGAATGAAAACAAAACCCGTTTAAAAAGCATCAGACTCACCTCTGACTCTTCTTTATTGTGCAGGGGCTTGGTGTAGGCATCAGGTTTATCGATGAAGTGCTTAACTACCATTGAAAAGACTGTGTAGAGTAAAATAGCTCCAAACACTGAGAGGAAAATGATGAGGATGATCTGCATGAACCGAGAAGCGAAATATCATCATACACAGTGGATAAAAGAACATGTTTTAAGCAAGGCGTCAACATCTATATTGCAAAAAGGGAAATCAGCACTGCTAGAAAGAGAAGATCAAAGTATGGACAAAAGTATTAGGCTGGAATTACCCAATTTGATGCCTTTGCAAACTTTGGAACAATCTGCAGCCTCAGAATTCTGTATTGTTCAAGGGCATCAGATTAGGAAAGGATGAAGAGAATGACAGCTTTCCTAGGAGTTATACAATCCAAAACACATAAGATGAGTCCCCCAATGCATGTACTTGCTTCTCTAGAGAAGTTAACTCTCATGCAACAACATCTGTGGTTTTAACTACAAGATCTACATGAGAAATACCATAGTAGACACTCTTGCCTGAATGTCATAGTGCTAATTTCCTTGTGATTATTTTTTCAGTCTCTTTTAGTTTCCTTGACAGTTGGAATCAGTCAAAATTCCTAGTTCTATACATTGAGGAAAGAAGACAGAGAAAGCTGGTGTAAGAGACAGTCTGATATATTACCTTAGTGGTGGTTTTATTTCTTTCCACAAACTTGCAATCGCACAGCAGGCAATACTCCTCAACTTCATGTCTTGGCACTGGCATTGGGTCCACTGTATACAGGCAATTACTGCAATTGTGAGAAAGCAGAAGCAACAACAAGCAATACAAATCTATCCCATGGAAGTCCACCTGAGGGTACTGTTCCAGAGGGTATTGGGCTTAATGTTTAGCTGGACATATTGACTGTTTATGAATGATCATATATTGGTTTAATAAGCCAAGATACACATTCACCTTTATTTTCTCCACTCATTACATCAATTAAACAGTGGCGCAGTGGTTAGAATGCAGTACTGCAGACTACTTCTGCTGACTGCCAGATGACTGCAATTTGGCAGATCGAATCTCACCAGACTCAAGGTTGACTCAGCCTTCCATCCTTCCAAGGTGGGTTAAATGAGGACCCAGATTGTTGGGGGCAATAGGCTGACTCTTTAAACCACTTAAAGCGAGCTGTAAAAGCACCATGAAGCGGTATATAATCTAAGTGCTATTGCTATTTGATCAAATCTGGAAAATTTTGATTAACATATCAAATTACAGTCTTAACCCATAGTCTCAAGTTGATTTAAGAGACTAATTTGCTCCAAATTATAACTAGTTTCTAAGTTTAAATGAAACAGAAAACACAGTTAATTGAAAATTTCTACATTTAATTGTTGTGTGTAATGAATAAAAGGAGAGAATCTATCCATTTTAAAAACGTCATGTACCTCTTGGCTTATTTGGACTGTTTAATTTTAGGCCAGTATCTATAGAGCAAGAATATTTGATTTAATCACTTTTCATATAAAATGTTTCTGAATCTATTTTTGTCAGTATGACTTAATAATTCTTACATAACAACTTCAAAACATTCCCAGAACTGCAGAATTTAATCTTCCAGTAGCTAACAAAGACACTGGCATTTAGCTGTTGATTTCTGCCTAAAACATTATGACTTCTATCAAAGCGTTGAAAATGTCGTTAGGGAGACAACAGAAAGTAATTACAGATGTAAAAAATGTGGCCTTTTCTAGAATATTTCTCTTCCCAGTTTGAGTCATTCATATTGGAGTAGCGTATAAATCCAATAAATGAAAACTAAAATAAAATATCAAACGTGAATCTAATAGCTCTTGGAAAATCCCTAATTTTGGGACTATTATTCCCTTGATCAGTAATGACCACGCATAAATAAATAAAATGCACATGGTGAAAGTATCCAATGTAAACAAACAGAAAGTGTGAGTCTTTAGTTCATTTCACTGAACTCACTTCCTACACTGAAGAGCTGTTTTAAAATCAGCTTTTTAGAACAATCACATCTTGCAGACATTCTGTGACGTTTGAAATTTGACTCACCAGTCATCCTGAACTAGTTTTTTCCAGAACATGATTTCACTTAAATTCTGATATGGTGGGCAGACACAGTAGCAGCCATTAGGCACAAATTGCTATAGAAGAAACATAAGATAAGCAGTGTGTGACAAATTGTTTTGCCCCATTGCAAAGTAAACTAATTAACAACATTCTCCCCAGTCACTTCATAACCTGCTGGAGAACTTGTTACCCTTAAAGTCCTCTTGATCTACAGCTGCAAGTTTTATTTTAATATCATATAAAATTGAATATTAGTTGCTGAGGATGATAACACTGGCATATAATGGAATTAAAACCTATGGAAGAATAAATAGAATGCTTTTTGTGAAAGATTTTTGTGAATGATTGAATGCTGACATGCTATCATAAGACAAGGATATGTGCATAAAATCCCCTTAATTTTTAATTTAGTTATGGAAGAATGGATAAGGAAAGTTTGTTTTTATTAGAATTGTGATATTGGGACCATGGATATATGTGCACTTTTGTATTGATATGGTTGGGCTAAAGAGCTTGGAACTGAAATTGTATATATGAAAGGCTTTGTTTGGGTATTTTTCTACGTCATTATAGTTGTTATACATTATACAACTTTAAAAGCACAAGTATAATGACGTGGGAAAATACCCAAACAAAGCTATATATATATATTTTCTTAAGTTTTCACGGGTATTTATATGTATGGTATTCAGCTTTGTTCGGGTATTTTCCCACGTCATTATACTTGTGCTTTTAAAGTTGTAGCAACGTTTTGGCAGAATCTCATCTGCCGAAGCCTGATGATGGCAGATGAGATTCTGCCAAAATGTTGCTACAACTTTAAAAGCACAACTATAAAGATGTGGGAAAATACCCAAACAAAGCTGAATACCATATATATTCATATGACACATTTGGGTTTATTTTCAGGAAAACACAGTAATGGAGATGGTGAGGGACCAGCTTGTGCTGCCCTGGCCTAGGCTACCCCAACTGGGCGTGCCACCCCTGGTACGTGCACTGGAGGTGGTAAGCGCGTGGGGTCCAACTGTCTGGCAGCAGCTGCAGCCCATCGACCCCTTGGCTGGCACACTCTGGGCTTACACAACTTGTGCATCTCAGGTGAATCCAAGTGTTGTGACTGCCAGGCTGGCCTTCAAGGAGCAGGTGGAGGCAGAAAGCAGAAGTGGGGGAAGGCACACATCTGGCCTGCTGGATGTGCCACATGGCCACCTACCCCATTGTGGGCAAGCAAAGGCAGATGGTGGGAGGGATTACGTGCCTTTCTCCTGTGCCTCTGCCTGCTGCTTGGAGGGCTGATTCAGCAGTCACAACTCTTGGACTCACCTGTGCTGCACAGGCTGCACAGCCTCAGATTGTGCCAGCCACATGGCTGCTCACCCACTGTGTCCCACTGTCTGTCTTTGCTTGCCTGCAGATGTGACAGGGCAGGTGGCCTTGTGGCACATCCAGTGGGCTAGATCAGTGGCCCCCAACCTTTTTTGTGCCGCGGCCCAGTACCGGCATCACAAAATCATCCGCGGCCCGGTACCGGCATCACAAAATCATCCGCGGCCCGGTACCGGCATCAGCACGCATGGCAAGGCGAGCCGAGCAACCGGCCAGCCAGCCATCCCCCGCTTGTCCCCGCCACCTTCAACTCCTCCTTTGTACCTGTGTCGATGGGCTTCGCGACGGCTTCGGGACGGTCGCTCAGCTCGCCTTGCCATGCGTGCTGAAAGAATCCTCGTGCCTTAGTTTTGTTCGAAGCCGCCGCCCCCCCTCAATGAAACTAAGGCGCGAGGATTCTTTCAGCACCCAAATGCCGCTTTCTACCTGGAAAAGCTCACTGGAAGCACTTTTTCACCAAAACAAGATGGTGGCACCCAGCAAACCGGCGGCCCGGTAGAAATTGTTCCACGGACCGGTACCAGTCCGGGGACCGGTGGTTGGGGACCCCTGGGCTAGATCATGTCTCCCCCCTGCGCCTATGTCTGCTGCTTGGAGCGCTGGGCTGACAGTCACAGTGCTCGGATTTACCCACGCTGCACACCAGAATGCACCAGCCAAGGGGCTAATGGGCTATGGCAGCTGCCAGACACAGTCAAACCCCACGTGCTTGCCACCTTCTCTGCTGGCCACACTCCCTCAAGGGCTGTTGATCTTAACTTGGGCTTATTTTGGGGGTAGGGCTTATATTGGGAGCATCCTGAAAAATCATGCTAAGGCTTATTTTCTGGTTGGGCCTTATTTTCGGGGAAACATAATAGGAAAATAGTAACAGCAACTAATGAATTTGGGTTCTTCTGTAAAACATTTACTAAAAATGAACTGATAAACATTAATGCTGATCAAATATAGTGACGTTTTTAGGTCTGTTGTAAGAAATGAATGTTGTTTTGAAAAAAGCAAAAAGGCTATATAAAACAGACTGCTTGTCCACACTTTGTTATATGAGAATTGGATATGTTAGGAGAAACAACAGTAAATTAGATGCAATGAAACAAAAAGTATGTGTGTGGTAAAACAAGAAGAGATGGGAGAAAAAATGAATGGCTGCTGAATGAATATGAACTGAATACAAAAGAGAATTACAGACATGAAATCAATTTAAGCATGCTGAGGGGGGCGGAATCATGTAGAGAGAGTAAATTATGATCAAATTACAAAACAAATATGTGAGGGATTATTGAATAGGTTGAGAGAAATGGGAGATAAGGAATTAATGCTGGATGGATTTGATGACATTCTCAAAGAGAAAGAGGTGAACAGTTTATGGAATAAAAAAGGGGTATGTGAACTGGTGAATAGATATGGTAGAACAAAGGACGGCTTGCACAAATAAAAATATATGAAGAAGTATAAACTAATTTTAGCTATGACTCCTTTTCCCTTTTTTAAGCTTATGCCTTTAATTTCTTTGGCTTGCTGTTTTTTACTTTTTTCCCTACTCTATATAACACTGCTGTCCAAAAAAGGAATAGCGTAATAGGCATTTCTGCATATCTGTTATACTGTAATTGAATTGCAGATAATTGCAGAAGTCTAAATGCTATTGCTATCAACAAATTATATTAAAAATAAACCATGACTTAGTTTGAACTGAGCTATGTTGGCCTGGCTTCATATAATGCTACGGTGACATAGATAGACATGACTATTACATTAACCCAAAAGCAAATAATAAACATTAATATAATCAGTTTTTCTTCCTATTTTCCACTCTCACCTTGCTGGTCTCAAATGATGGTATTAGGATACACCAAAAAATGGCTGCAAGTGACACCGATTTCATGATTTCTCAGATGTGTAAATTAATATTACCTGGAAGGGAGGGGGGAAACAACAGAAATCAGCCAATTCTTTATAACATTATAGAGTTTTAGATATCACAACTCATCTGCTAAAATGTGACAAGCTGGTTTCTTCAGCATATGTATAATTTTGACGATATCTTCTTTTAGGGCCTGAAAACCTGAAGCAATAAAAACATATCAAAAGCCAAGAACTTGCAGTATGCGTGGAAGAGAAGACAAAACCAGTCTTTTCCAAACCCTTCAACAGCAGAGACAGTTTGACTAGAAACAATCTTTAATTAGATTTTAAATATAGCTCATCTTACCAAATATGTAAGAATAGCACAACACCTTGTACTATTCTGCAACTAGATTAAATTTTTGATTTGTCTGCAAAAGATGTACAGTGGCTTTCAGGTTAAAATATAAATAGAATAGAATAGAATAGAATAGAATAGAATAGAATAGAATAGAA